TTTCGTGTTAATGAAACGCGCTGGTGGTAGTAGGTCCTTTGATTTTAGGCGACCATTTTGCGTACGCGGTCTCGTAACTCTTATTCTAGGTAGCTTTCTACGATTTCCGTTGATCTGCTGATCTGAGAGATATACAAGATTTACTTCAGGCGTATTTTATTTGCATGTAACGCGTAACTGAGCATAAAGTGACACTTCTAATACAGAAGAGACTTAAGCTTATAATGAGTAAAAGCGAGTGGACCCAGCCGCCTGGATACGATATGAGCAAATCGAGTCTTCAAAAGCTTTCATCAAAAAAAAGAACGCGTTCCTCCGTTACTTAAGAGGTGTGGTAACCCTTAGAGATCAACTAGTCATGGATGCTAGGCTAGTTATCAGCTAGCGTTCCGTTTCATATTTTAAAAAGTACTGATAGCAATAAGAAATGTTATAATGGAATGCTTTACCTATAGGTGACCAAACCTATTGTACATTATATACATATGAAAGTTCGGATAACGTAATAGTTGAACATACCAAGCATACATCGCAAAAAGTATCCATGAAAAAAACTGGAATTAGCTAAAGGAAATATCTTCAAAATTATTATTAGTCACGGTCTCACAAATTGACGTAGGTGTCTATGTCGCAAACGGTTTTGAAGCACATGGTAGTAAAGTTCCCGTATCGACGGTCCCTGAGGTCTGTTACCACCCAGGCTATCCTATTGGAAGACATCATATCTAGTGCGTTCTAATGATTTCTTTAGCAAATTTAAGCAGAAACAAGTTAAAGCGCAATCCATCAGAATTCGCGCGCTTTCCAAGGTGACTATATGAGAACCGGTATATATAAGTATGCTCTGGCACTAAGCCAAGAACGGATACGCTCAGCGTTAGAGAATCCATCGATTGACTTTTCGCTAGACATGACGATTATCCCTATTAAGAGAAAGCGATCAGCGTAAGCAGTCTACCTGCGCGTCTCGTATTATAGGTGTTGTAAGCGAATACTACATGTAGCATTAAATTCATCGATGATGTCATCAAGGGACACGGAGGTCATCACCCTCGTCTCTGTGTGAATTATTTATAAAATTAGGCATCACTTGGAGGTTAGGTAGGTCGGCGACCACAGGCAAAAACCATCATTACTGTCGTTCCAGAGTCATGAACATAAAGTTGTACGTATACTATATTGTTTTGTAGTAATCCACTAGTTTGCATAAACTTCGTTCAGAATGCGACCCTGTCCACATATATTAAAGACTGTAGAGTTGGTGTAGTATGTCCCCTTATCATTGGTTCGAGAAGCTAAATTTTCCATTACATAACTTCAGGTTGAGAATCCTTCTAGTGGCAACCGTTACACAGCCATCGTCTTTTCTTATGGATAAAATGTATAATTTGCAATTTCTTGCGAGAGCTGAAACTTTTCAATACCAAAATCCCCTATGTGCCAATAGGGAGCACCGTGAGCGTATTGAGGGTAGAAGCTGAGCACTATACGTGTATGCTTTAGATTTTTAGGGACAGGCTCAAACGATTGCGGAAATGGTTTTTAATGTATGGGCGTCCGCAAATAAAAGAACACACAATCCTTTTTGTCTTTATCGTTTTTCCATCCAAATGACGACTATTTTGTAACAACCATCTATGTGCTAAATGGCTCACAATCGGCCTTCAGGGAGAATGCGGGAGCTGTCCAATTATTATGGACATCCTAGCTACGAGTAGCTATGAAAGGCCCAGTCAAATCCGATTGGAAGCCTATTTATTATGCAAAATCATGCCTTACAGCTAACGTACGGTACGCGTGATTATTTCAAAAAGAAGTGATATACGCTGTTGTTTCGTATTTCAGGGAGAATTGGCAAAGTCTATGAATCGAAGGTATACCCCGTTTCGAGACTTAGAGCTGACAGCAGATCTTCTCATAATCTAGCTCAATTGTAACTTTTGTCTACTGAAAGCTGCAAGAGAAAACCGAAAAAGACTTTTCTCGCGATCAGATCCTTGCTGGCTTCTCGTTTCGCGAACAGTAACGTATTCTAGATTGCCTACTACGTATTGCCGTCGCGCATCATACAAGAAAGTTTCCGATTGAAAAGCTCGTAAAGCATGCACCGTTTTACTGGATAGCTGAAAATACGAATTTTTATGATCGTCAGCTTGTTAATTGATCACTGAATTGGAACTAGCAGTTCCGCATCTGTTTCAAATCCTACACTAGTAACTCACACTGCGAGCTTCGATTTTACAATGTGCGCCCCCGATAAACAGGCAGGTGAACAAAAAAACGAGTATTAACACAATGCAGTGTCAAAGAAAAACAGTAGAGTCTTTTAGCTCCATTTATGAATTCTCATGTTCTCTGCTTATCATGACAAGTTTGCAGCTGGTAATAAGCGTAAATCAACGCTTTTACGAGCTTAGCAGAAGCAGATTCGTATCGACCGTATGTATGTAACAGGCTGCACGAGCGTCAAACACTTCTCTCAGGCTGATGTAGATGCATGCGCTGACTTTTTGTTATAATTAAGATTAATGGCCCTCCTCGTGTTGATCGATGATAAAGGAAATCTCTAACAGGCTAATTATCGCAAGGTAAAAATGGCGCAAATAAAAAGACTGTTAGATCTATTAAAATTTCACAGTTACTAAGTGTTGCTTGTGATACCAATTGTTTGTTTTTGTTTTTAAAGCTGTCTTTAGCTAGTAATTAGTGCTCACAGTTTGATTCGAGTATTTTCTACATAGCGTAGGACGTTGCAGAGACAATGGCAATTTACTATCTTTGTTATACACCTAGTGAAATTCGCCACTCTCAAGTTAAAACAAAAAAAAATCTGAAAAAAACTTGACGCAGCGAAGCAGGCTGTACCACATTATTGTTCCCGTGCTACAGGCAAACGCTGCAAACGTCGACAAACGCTGAGATGCCTAAGGGGAAGTTTGTGTCTAATGCTTTTAATTTAAACTTGAGGTTTTTGGGTCTAGAATAAATAGACGAATAACAGCAAGAGTAAGTTATACAGTTTGAATAATATTTGTATTACTTATCCATTACGGGGGACGGCTTTACGAATGCTCCTAGGTCGAACCGTCCGAATTGCTATTACTATTGCTCTTTATATTACTTTGACTCCTAACAATCATTTGCTTTTTCCGCCTATCGAACACACTCGGACAAGCCCTATGTCTGTATCACTTGGCCGAACCTACAAAGCTGTTGACTTGCTTTTACAGTTGTCATCACTCATTGTCACAGTACCTAAAAACTATCATATGAGAACCCCTGTAATTTGCATATGCCAAGCGAGGTCACAATACTTTTGCCAGTTTACATGGTAGGATACTGCTCTGTTGCTGTTTCACACATTAGGAAATTGTCTTCTAAAGCGCATCTCAAGGAATATGGACACGCAATTAGGGCGTAGGTCCAAGTAAAACGAATGCAGGGCACGGAAAAGATGAATGGAAAAAAACATAATGTGTTCTGAATATAAAAAGCGAATATATCCACACTTTGCTTAACACTTGGACCACTCATCAGCGCAGCACGGACTGGTAAAAAGGACCTAAGACATAAGGAACCCTAAACTGCATTTACAAACAAATGGTGCGCCTTTTAGCGTTCCTCGCTGAATAGGCTAGTTACGTTTTGCTAGGTGGGAATTTGACCCTAAAAGGCAGAAAAAAACAACAAACCAAACGGTCGGCCGAGGCAACCGTTGTTTTGGGAGGAGGATACAAAATTCTGTAACAACATCTAAACAAATGAGCCTTCATTAAAGCAACCAGGCACTAAAGTAGTGCTGTCGCGGGCTTTTGGTGCGTTTGCGTTTTGGAAGGTTATGTGACTGAGATTGCAGGGTTTAGTGGATCCTAGCGTGATGAGTTAGGGTCTCCACTCCGCGCACAATAATGAATCCTTCTGCATCTCTTAAACAAAATACAAACAAAAAATTTGAATTTACACCAAAGCGAGGCAGATTCGTGTTGAAATCTACTCATAAACCAGAATATTATAAAATCAATTTAAAGTCAATAGGCATCATGAAACGAACCTAATTTTGCTACGGTACACATATTTACAACGCTAGTCAATTGAGAATCGTCTGTTCGTGTAGCCGACCTCTATGCAAGATAACCTGTCAAGACTGATATCGCACAACCTAAATTCAATGAAACTTACGACTTAGGATGATACATTTTAGGGTAGCAGAACTGATTGTTGCAAGCCGCAAAAGAAAGTAGTGGGTTTGAACCGTACGCAATCTATCGTAGTGAAATCCTCGCTACGTCGTCGAGGCTCCGCTGCAATTATTCACTCGTATGAACCATGGACTCTATACGTGGTAACATACTTATTATTATGGCGAAACCTTTAAGGCGACAGATTCCTCTACAAAGGATCACTTGCGTTTTGCCCAGCTGGCAACGTTACGAAGTACTCGGTATACATATATATGAGAAATGTAAAACTAATGTCAATCCAAACGTTGACTGCCATCGAAAAGTGTAGATATTTAGTGTGAGGTTGAAGCTATACGCCTGAAGGAGCCGTGAACAGATATGGTACTATGATTTATTTTTTCAGCTGTTCACTATTGGTATGATAATAAATATGCCATTGAGGAATAAATCTATTATTAAGCATTAAAAACAAAAAAGCGTATGTTATAACAGTTAACCTACGATACTGTCGTCGAACTTGAGATATAAGAAATATTTGATGCAAGAAAGAACGACACTGGGTTCGAGTGTGGCGTACGACTACACAGTTAGCGCTTGCAATTCATGACAAAGATTGCCCTGTCATCACAACGCAGTTCTAACGTCGTGGAAACTATCTCCGATACGAATAAGCGATATTGTTATGAATCGCCTGGGCCTAAGATTCGAAGTTATCGATTGCTACTAATTGTAGGTCGACCACAACATACGTTCAATTTCTTAACTTTTTCGAGTATTATGTTTTACTTCTTCAATTCACTTCAGTACTCCTACAATTACCAGAGTCATTGGCGTGAAGTCGTCTGGCTTGTTCCTGCTGCTCGCATTCAAGTTGGCTGAAATTTGCATATAATTCATCTGATATCGTCACAGTCAGCGAATCAACAGTAGTTGTAGGGGGCGAAACTGCAGGCAACAGGCTCATCTTCCTTGACTACCCCAGCATATCACCTACAACAAGGACAACACATTAAACGATCAGATACAAAAATAAGACGCGAATACGTATCACTATCTACACGTACCTACCTGGTATTCACTTAGTTCTTGCATCCCATGTGTATTGTCCATTCTAATTATCGTATGATTATATGGGCATTCCTCACTCATATTTAATGCGTCATTGGCGGATAATAAGCTTGCTTTTTTGTTATAGGCAGAAAACGAATGTTGTTATTGCATGATACTGGGCAGGTACGTATAGGATGTATAAGGTAAGCATCCGGTATAAGTATATTTGTGCAGCTCGTGCTTCTTAGCCGGTTGAGTTATTCTCGATAGTCCAGTTTTCATATCCTTGTGCAGTTGCCTGGGGCTACTGCGACATTGTGAGGATCCAGTTCGCGTGGAAACTACGTTACTCAAACCGCCCAGTACATACCAGGTTTTTGTGCCCCCCACAATCCCGTTATTTCTTTTATGCAACCTGGGCTTTTCTTCCACCCCGATTTTGCCCTTGCTAGTTCGCTAAACACGTTTACGTTTCTTATTTATTTAGGCGCTATTCCTATTCTATTCTTCTTTTATCTGCTACCTATTCTTCTCCCCTGAATAAACCTCTCTTTAAGATTAGCGTCGAAGACTTTCCCCCACTGGGAGTCTAATTGCATAGGGCTTTACTATGAGTTTTAATTTTACTAACCGAAGATTCTTCAACAAGACTATTAAAAAACATGGCCAGTATACAAGCAGCTATAAAGCTTCATAATACTACTTTTTTTTCCATAAATCCTTATTTTTCATTCATTTAGTTTTTTCTAACTATGAATACTCGGAAATTATTTTCTTCGAAGCTGAGATTTAAATCAGTAGCACTGAACGAAATGCACAGTTGCTACCCAGACTACGCCACCCACGCTTGTGTCCCTATTTAAAGGAAAGGCATGCAGATCCTAGTCTTGTTAAAGCCAGCCCATTTGAATAATGCGTGATAGACGTCACCCGTTTCGCCTTGAACTAAGTCTAAAACAGTGGTGCCTAGGCCTAGGCAGAACCTTACTTACCACATTCGTGTACACTCTGGTGATTTTGATAGCCTTTCTTCTCTGCAACTTTTTCGACCTACCCAATCAGCTTTATAAGCCAAGGTTGTCTTTTGCTATATAAATACCGTGTACAAAACTATTGTTTTTATACGAGTATTTTTTCTGCAACCCGCACCTACACACTCAGATTCATAATCATCGTTCCGGACCTAAGTTTAATCACTGTAATTTTTATATTCTTTCTGCTCGCCCTTAACTCTTCCTTTTGACAAGTAATCCTGTGATTTTCTAAAGGTAAGGCGAGAAGTCTTGCCTTAACATCGTGGAAATGACTGTTGTTATTCATAGTAGGCTACTGAAAGCATTGGCCACATCAAGGAACATTAGAAGGAAAAAACAATTCGATTGTTGCCGGAAATTACCTAAACATTTCCTGAGCTCAACTTCCTTCGATCACCTTTGTTTTCGTACTATGTACTTATTCTCAAAAAGCGTGGCTTGATTTCCTGCGCTAGTCGCTTAGGCGATTTTTGCAAGAAGACCGTTCGTTATCAGCGCTTTCCGGACCTCCACGTGGCCCTCTGGTGTTAGCAATTTGACGATGGTAGCCGTTGAAGTGTGTTTTGCCTTCCAAAGAAGCTGTATTGATGTTTGCGTTTCTAATGTTTGACGGAACAGCCGTCTTTAGTACGTTAGCAACTGGAAATGAGGCCCCTTGTTAACAGGTAAATGCATTTGTATTTTTCCCCAACGCCTCGTTAGGCATTGTGCGTATGTTCCCCGACGTCACGTTTTCCAGCTGTTACAGTAAAAGTTCTTCATCTTCTAAAGACAGACATTGCCAATAACAATTTCTCATGACTAACCTACCTATCTATGATCGAAGTTGCAGTCAGGAATGGCCCCTGCGTTTTGACTTTCTATACGATGCAATAACGATCGCTGTGGCTATTCTCATCTGGAACACTTTTTTCTCTCATCTCCATTTCTTATAGCCATTGTGATTTCCATTAAGCACACTTAACCACGCTTCGCAAAGATGGAAATTTCCGTCGTTGACCATGACTAGACTTCATCTAGCAAAGCAGTCCAACGGTATTTCTCCCCATCACCATAATTTCTAACTTTGTACTTACCTTCGTTATTGTTACTGGCTTCAAGTAAATTTCGAACTGTTCCGTGGACTTAACTGAGCTCAAATATCTATACAAGAGGCTATTCTGTAGAGGTTAATCATGTAGCACTTCCTGGAGTCAGCAGTGTATTTTCTAGGTGCACGCCTTAGAATGCCACAGCTGTAGCATCTTTAGTAAGATGCTCTTCAGAAGCTTGCTCATCTCGGCATTTGTGTGTATTGTGTCTCCTCTTCTGTAATTTCACAGTAAGCAGAGGACATCGCTTCGGAGGTTTTTCGTTGCGGCAGACATACGTAGACGAGTCCATTCTTCCAAAGCTGTTGGATTGTTCTTCTAGTTAATTTTGCTGTTCCTAGTCGTCTTCCTTGTGTTCCTGTGTATGTGGGACTCCTTAAGCGGGCAACAACTTTTCACAACGTATTTACTACAATAGTAACTTTATACTTTATGGTTTTTCCTTACGCACAATATGAAGTTGAAGCGTGATATGTTCCTCCTCTTTAATGTGAAATAACTTTAGCAAGCAATTCGAAGACAGAATTAAAAGAGGTGTATCGTACATTCAAAGACTTTCGATTGTCGTAGTTGCTTTTGGATTTATTCTTATCCCGTGTAGAAACAAATAAACCACATAGTTCATCAATTATATATGGGCCGTCATTTTTATAAATAACTAATATTATTTAAGTTGGGAATATACTGTATTAAGCATAGATTGTATTTAGCGGCAAGCTTGTATTTTTGTTTTGATTTTTTTTTCTTAATTTCATAATTTTGGGGGATCAAAAAGTATACCACTTCCGAATTTACGAGCTTCAATTTTACAAATGGAGTAGAAGTCGCTGCTGATTGCTTTTGTAGCAAAAGCCACACTTGTGCTTACCAGCAACATGAATGTCGAGGCACGAAGAGAAGCCTGTCAAGGAGCTTATTGCCGTCAAAAGGCTCACGCAATTGCGTCTGCTAGAAGAACTACAGACCCTCCCAACATACGTGTAATATACCAGCATTCGAATAGGGTTGAAATTATCCTGTTGCTCTCTTTCTAGTTCCGCTAACGGAATCCAATGACTGGCAACAGCCAGGCACTGTCCTTTTTACCATATGGAAACTGGCACACACAAGCAAGCGTACAAGCCCACCTCAACTGCCGTATGCTGCTCCTAGCTTTCCTTGCACCCCGCTATGCCGACACGTGACGAGCCTGCACAACTAAGAGATCTGCCAAATTCTACAGGCTGACGGGTTACATGTGCATAAAAAACAGTCTCCCATATTTCTGGTTCCTTCTGGACTCGATGTTGCATCGAGAATAACAAATTACTGCGCAGTGGATTGGGAACTGATACAGCTTCTACGGCGTGATGGTTAGACGGGCGGATACCTGTCAGCGATTTTCACTTCTTACCATCACAGTTCCGTACTCTCAACGATCGTACGCGACATTAGATATGGGATCTGAACCTTAACATAGACAAATCGCTGTTCGTCGTACCGTCCCTTACGACCGATCCGGCATCAAGCTATCAAAACCACAATGTCGTAGGTCTCTTTGCAGATAGATGCACACACACACATGTATTATAGTGGTATTACATAGGTACTTCCTAGCATTCAACAGAATTCCATAAAAAGAGAAATCACTTTGGCTAGACATAGCGATAGTTACCATTACTAAAGTCTCGTATGAATACTCTATGAATATAGTTGACGATCTGTTCTTAATAAGATCCACCAGCACATTTAAGGGTATGCTTTTGATTTTTTTCTTGCGGTAACCGTTGTATAGTCCAATAAATAAATATTGATTTAAATTCGCCATTACATATACAAAAGAAAACGTTTAACATGTATAAGTGAGACCCCATTTCTGCTCTGGCGACGATGGAAACGCTTGTTGTTGTTGTTGTTGTTGTTGTTGTTGTTGTTGTTGTTGTTGTTGTTGTTGTTGTTGTTGTTGTTGTTGTTGTTGTTGTTGTTGTTGTTGTTGTTGTTGTGTCGACATACATCGTCGACAAACATCAGTTGTAGGAGAAAGTATTGCAGGCCTTCTAGCCTACGCATTCTCAGCAATTGAGCCAGCAGCTTTACTGAAAGTCTATATCATCATAAAGTTGAAATTAATTTACAAAAATTGCTCTGTGCAGCATTATAAATTTTCGTTCATAAATAATGTCTCCTAGAAAATTCTTACCATTGGACTTGTAGTATACGTTTGTAGATATAGCTAAATATAATATACAGTGCTTGGTGTTATGCTGAAAGGGGTATCGAAATTATCTAGTGCCAATCATACTATCATATATATATATATATATATATATATATATATGATAGTAATTTCGAAATTGGCAACAGTTCTGTCGCAGGGAGGCCGCGTTTGGCCATTTGATTATGCACTGACGATAGAATATTAGAAAGTTGATGTACGACAGTGTTTAGACAACGCGTAAACATCTATCTCGTAACATATCGACTTGTCTGATATCCGTTTCTACATACATTGCAGCTGGTAATACTGCGTTCACAGTTATTTTTACCCTTTCAAAATTTCTTAGATTTGAATAGAATGCGGCCGTATCGCGCGTCATGTGTCACTCCTTAGCTCTGACGCGGTGAAAGCCACGACTTTCGACCCAACCTACGCGTGAAGGTATCCGTGCTATACAGCTATCAGGTCGGAAATGCCTCTAAATCATTACTCGGCTTTGCCACGAATAGTAATACGTTTCCAGTAGATCAGGTCTCCAACAAGCTGGGTCTGAATGCCATAAAAGCTTACTACTAAGCCAAGTGCTAAAGAGTGTAGATGAACGAATCTAAATGATGT